TTGGAACGTTATATCTTCTTTTGATTTTCGCAGCGACCTCGATTTTGAAAAAAAACGTGATGATTTGAAAGGTCATATCTCCGCGCGGAGTTATGTCGTTTTGGAACGTCATATCTCCGCACGGAGTTGTCGTTTTGGAACGTCATATCTCCGCGTGGAGTTATGTCGTTTTCGAACGTCATATCTTCTTTCGATTTTCGCAGCGACCTCGATTTTGAAAAAAAACGTGATGATTTGAAAGGTCATATCTCCGCGCGGAGTTATGTCGTTTTGGAACGTCATATCTCCACGGGGAGTTATGTCATTTTGGAACGTAATATCTCCGCGCGGAGTTATATGGTTTGGAACGTCATATCTCCACGCGGAGCTATGTCGTTTTGGAACGTCATATCTTCTTTCGATTTTCGCAGCGACCTCGATTTTGAAAAAAAACGTGATGATTTGAAAGGTCATATCTCCGCGCGGAGTTATGTCGTTTTGAAACGTCATATCTCCACGCGGAGTTATGTCATTTTGGAACGTCATATCTCCGCGCGGAGTTATGTCGTTTTGGAACGTCATATCTCCGCGCGGAGTTATGTCGTTTTGGAACGTCATATCTCCGCGCGGAGTTATGTCGTTTTGGAACGTCATATCTTCTTTCGATTTTCGCAGCGACCTCGATTTTGAAAAAAAACGTGATGATTTGAAAGGTCATATCTCCGCGCGGAGTTATGTCGTTTTGGAACGTCATATCTCCGCACGGAGTTGTCGTTTTGGAACGTCATATCTCCGCGTGGAGTTATGTCGTTTTCGAACGTCATATCTTCTTTCGATTTTCGCAGCGACCTCGATTTTGAAAAAAAACGTGATGATTTGAAAGGTCATATCTCCGCGCGGAGTTATGTCGTTTTGGAACGTCATATCTCCACGGGGAGTTATGTCATTTTGGAACGTAATATCTCCGCGCGGAGTTATATGGTTTGGAACGTCATATCTCCACGCGGAGCTATGTCGTTTTGGAACGTCATATCTTCTTTCGATTTTCGCAGCGACCTCGATTTTGAAAAAAAACGTGATGATTTGAAAGGTCATATCTCCGCGCGGAGTTATGTCGTTTTGAAACGTCAAATCTCCACGCGGAGTTATGTCATTTTGGAACGTCATATCTCCGCGCGGAGTTATGTCGTTTTGGAACGTCATATCTCCGCGCGGAGTTATGTCGTTTTGGAACGTCATATCTCCGCGCGGAGTTATGTCGTTTTGGAACGTCATATCTTCTTTCGATTTTCGCAGCGACCTCGATTTTGAAAAAAAACGTGATGATTTGAAAGGTCATATCTCCGCGCGGAGTTATGTCGTTTTGGAACGTCATATCTCCGCGCGGAGTTATGTCGTTTTGGAACGTCATATCTTCTTTCGATTTTCGCAGCGACCTCGATTTTGAAAAAAAACGTGATGATTTGAAAGGTCATATCTCCGCGCGGAGGTTTGTCGTTTTGGAACGTCATATCTCCGCGCGGAGTTATGTCGTTTTGGAACGTCATATCTTCTTTTGATTTTCGCAGCGACCTCGATTTTGAAAAAAAACGTGATGATTTGAAAGGTCATATCTCCGCGCGGAGTTATGTCGTTTTGGAACGTCATATCTTCTTTCGATTTTCGCAGCGAACTCGATTTTGAAAAAAAATTTGATGATTTGAAAGGTCATATCTCCGCGCGGAGTTATGTCGTTTTGAAACGTCATATCTCCACGCGGAGTTATGTCATTTGGAACGTCATATCTCCGCGCGGAGTTATGTCGTTTTGGAACGTCATATCTTCTTTCGATTTTCGCAGCGACCTCGATTTTGAAAAAAAACGTGATGATTTGAAAGGTCATATCTCCACGCGGAGTTATGTCGTTTTGGAACGTCATATCTCCGCGCGGAGTTATGTCGTTTTGGAACGTCATATCTCCGCGCGGAGTTATGTCATATCTCCAAGCGGAGTTATGTCGTTTTGGAACGTCATATCTCCGCGCGGAGTTATGTCGTTTTGGAACGTCATATCTTCTTTCGATTTTCGCAGCGACCTCGATTTTGAAAAAAACGTGATGATTTGAAAGGTCATATCTCCGCGCGGAGTTATGTCGTTTTGGAACGTCATATCTCAGCGCAGAGTTATGTCGTTTTGGAACGTCATATCTCCGCGCAGAGTTATGTCGTTTTGGAACGTCATATCTCCGCGCGGAGTTATGTCGTTTTGAAACGTCATATCTCCACGCGGAGTTATGTCGTTTTGGAACGTCATATCTCCGCGCGGAGTTATGTCGTTTTGGAACGTCATATCTTCTTTCGATTTTCGCAGCGACCTCGATTTTGAAAAAAAACGTGGTGATTTGAAAGGTCATATCTCCGCGCGGAGTTATGTCGTTTTGGAACGTCATATCTCCGCTCGGAGTTATGTCGTTTTGGAACGTCATATCTCCGCGCGGAGTTATGTCGTTTTGGAACGTCATATCTCCGCGCGGAGTTATGTCGTTTTGGAACGTCATATCTCCGCGCGGAGTTATGTCGTTTTGGAACGTCATATCTCCGCGCAGAGTTATGTCGTTTTGAAACGTCATATCTCCACGCGGAGAAATATTTTTTAAAATTGATAATTTGGCGCATTTTTGTTTACCGAAACTTTTTTGAAATTTCGAAAAATATATCAATATTTTTATCTACAGGGTCAATTTTCTAGAGAGTTTAGAGAAAACCGCTGCAGGATTTGTTTAACATTAATTACATTGCGAATTACGTAGTGTAGGCTCGGTGCGGATAACGCTGGCCTGATCCGCACACACACCCACACACCCACACACACACACACACACAGGTCATGCCGGCGGTGCGTGCGCCTGCAACTCACGATAGTTTCCACAACAATGTCAAGCCAATTAACACAGTAAACCGCAATTGCAACTTCCGACGACTAAGTGCACGTAGTGCTCCTATAGTTATAGTCCAACCCCAGCCACTTGCCACGCCTACTATGGGCTGGTTGGGACCATGGTCGGGGGGAGGGAAGCCTGTTGGTTGGCGGCTTGAGGGTCGTTTGTGACAAAGGCAACTAATTTAGTTTAATGCGCGTCGCGCGCGCTGCCGCAAAATTTCTTGCGGATCGTGTAGCGGCCGGCCCTCGACCAGAAACCAGGAGCCAGGCACTCTCACTGTGTATGTGTCTGTGAGTTTGTGTGTGCGTGTGTGTGCGTGTGTGTGTGTGTGTGTGTGTGTGTGTGTGTTTGCGTCCCTTACGCACTCATTAAGCATTTTTAGTCGAGCTTAGCGAGCCGTTTGTTTGCATTGTCAACTGACTTTGGCTCACAGCCCACATCCCTTGCGCGCCCATTGTTTCATGCCAGGACACAGGACCCACCCCGCGCCCCCCATTTCTCATACATAAATGTACACACACACACACACGCATACGAATATACACACACACACATGTAACTGGTTGGCTTTGGTGGTGCGACGCTTTTTAATTTCACTTCTGTTTGTTTGATTTTTAGCTTTTACAGCTGACAGTTTTGTGAGGCGACAGTTGGCAGCTCTGACACCACCCACAGCAGCCGCACCACCGGCAGCAGCCATCGGGTGGGTCAAATTAAAAATGTTGCGGCACTTTATTTGAGTTTTTGGCAGCAGCAAATGTAGCCAGCTTGACTTTGAAGTCGCTAGAAATTTGAGAGCTCTGTTAAATTTTTGCAATAAATTTTTATTTATTTCTTTATACTTTTTATATAATTTTTATATATATTTTTGTTGATTTTGTTTTTGTTTTTGCTTTCTTTTGTTTATATCGTTTATTTGCTTTGTAACTGGCCTTTTGTATACATAAAACATTTGTTCATTTCGCTTAATTACTGATAAAAATATCGACAGCTACCAAATTTAGCAATTTAATGCAATTCACTGTTCTTAATTGCTACCAAGAAGAAAAAAAAGAAAAACATCAACAATATATATATATATATATATATATATATATAGTTCGATGTGTTGCCTTTGCACTTTAAATAGGCATTTCTCATATGCAATTTTTTCATATATCAAAAACTCGAACGAAGCTAAAGGCTGTATAACTTATTAAATAAAAAAAAAAAGATGTATATATGTAGATACATGCTAAACTTAGTGTGTAAATGCGTATGTTAATGGCATACTACAGCTAGGATATATATGTATGCGGATTAATTAACGTTATACACTTAGAAGTACACTTAGCAAAATTGAACTTACGAACTTGTTGCTACTTTTTTCTTTCTTTTTTTTTAAGTATTTTTGCTTCAAATTTATTTGCCAGTTAATTAAGTTTTTGTTTAATTAATGTATTCATCTTTTTTTTAAGATTTGCTGAGCTTAGCGCGTGGGCGTGTCATAAGTTAAGGCGACTGCTTAAAAGTTGAGTATTTAGCTGCTAACTTTTCTATTTCAAATACATTTCCATCGCTTAAACTGTCTATTTCAAAAAAAAAAAAAAACTCTTAAAAATACTATTAGATATTAAAAAAAAAAATGCACAGCTTAAATACTATCAGGTACTTTGGCATAATTTTCTTAAGCAACACACACTGCTGCACATAAGTCTGCGCACGTTTGTTTTGCAAGCACATTAAATTAACTTTTCACATGCTTCTTTTACACTTCTTCCTTTTAAATTTTTTTTGTTTTTGTTTTTTCTGATTTGCGCGCCTCTTGTTGCACTTTGAAAAAAGTGTTGCCTACTTTTGAGCCGACATGGAGAGTTTCGGATATATAATTGAAGGATATGTAAGTGTTTATATAGCTTTGAGATATGAAACTGTTTAAAGGGAGAGAAAAAGTTTGTTTTTTGTATCAAAGCATAAGCCAAGCAATTATTAATCTCTTTTGCACAACATAGGCACGCAATTTGTTTTTTTTTTTCTTTCTATTTAATGTATATGTATATATATGTATCTATTTTATTTTTAAGTTTTTTCTTTTTTTGCCAGTTAAAATGTTTGTTTTCAATTGTTTGTTTGTTGTGTAATAAATAATCTTTGTAAGGCGTTTCTTAACATGCAGCAAGTTTCTAACAACTTGTAAATGCGCAACATTCTAGCTTATCCAACTATATATAGTCTATATAAATCGGGCCACTTACAACTAGCGATAGAAATTGAATTTGTTACGCCAAAGCCAAGCGGCATAGATCTGACATTCGACTAAGTTAGGCAAGAGAAAAAAATGTAGTTGCTATATATGTTTGTGTCTGTGTCTGTGTGTGTGTGTGTGTATGTGTGTGTGTGTGTGTGTGGGTGTGTAAATTTAAAGTAAAATACTAAGTATGTCTGTAGTTAGTTATAGGTCTACTAGTCCACCTAAAGTTAGCCTAGTTTCGTGCTGCCTAATCAGACGTGGCATGAGCTCTCTTTAACCTTAAGCTATACAATGCGAATTTTTGGTTGCTAAATAAAGTTGAAGGGTCCTCCAAACTTACCCCTCGACTGCCCTGTGTAACGCTCAACGCTCGCCCGCTGCCCTTGAGATCAGTCTTGCGAGTGGTTGCTTGGGCGGCTGCTTGGCTGGCGCTTAGCCTGGCCTGTTTAGGCGGCACACAGTCTGGCCGGCGTTTTGGGCAGTCGGCGCTTAGACTGCCGTCGGCGGCGGCAGCAGCGAGGAATTGGACGTGCGCAAATAGGGATTACCATAGATGGCGCTGTAGCGCGGATCCACGCTGAGGGCCATTGAGCTGGGCACCACCACGTGGGTGGTGGTGGCGGTGCTCTGATTGCTGCAGCTGCCATTTGGCGAGGAGCTCACCACCGAGGCAGTGGTCGACTGCAGGCTGGGCAGACCGTTCTCCTGGCGTATCTCGCGTCCTCCAATGATGCTGCCTGTAAGGCTGCCGCCGCTGCTGTTGGTCAAAAAGGTCATGGGAACGCTTTGCACCGCCGACTGTTGCTGTTGTTGCTGCTGCTGCTGCTGGTGATGGTGGTGCTGGTGTTGCTGCTGCTGTTGCTGCTGCAGCTGCAGCTGGTTCTGATGATTGTTCTGCAGTATGGTGGAGCTGCCATTGGACTTGGTCGAGCAAGAGGTCAGATACTGTGGCGGCGGGCTGTAGTGTGTGCTGTAGTCGCCATAGGGCACATAGCCGCCGGATATGTCCACCTTGAGATCACTGTAGTTGGAGGTGCGATCGCCGGCTTCCATTTTGCAGCTAACACCGCCATTCTTTGTGATCTGATGTTCGCTGATGACATCCGCTGGTGGCAGCTTGGTGCGCTTCTTGCACTTGAAGTAGATTACTATGATGATGGTGAGCATAAGAATGAAGAATGCCACCGCCGAAATGCCCACAATGGTCTTCAAGAGGGCAACGGTCTCTGATGAAGGGAAGAAATGGTGCGGGGGCAAGGACATACATTAATTAAGTACTAAGTGCGGCTAACAGACGTTTTTCTTATTCTAATAACTGCGTCTAAAGCTTACCTTTTGGCTGCAGTTGAATCTCGGCCACATCGTTGCCATAGTCGTTGACCACAGTGCAGTTGTATTTGCCATAGTGATAGTCCTGACTGTCGCGTATGATGAGCGTACTCTTTACGCCGCCTGGCACTGCGTCCACCAATATGGAGTAGTCGTGACCGGACTCGGAGCTGATCTCCTGGCCATTGAACGTCCACGAGACGTGGCGAGCGCGTGGCACGCTGCTGGCAAAGCACTCAATGCGCGCCGTATCGCCGACCAGGCCGTACTGGGATCGCTGCGAGCTGATGCTGGGCGAGCCCTTCAGATAGACATACGCATCCGCTGATATCTCAGCATAGCCCGGCACATTCGCCTTGCAGTAGTAGCGTCCGGCCGTCTCGTTGCTTACGCTGAACGTCAGATTGGAGCTGGTGCCAACAACTCGATCACTGGGATGCTGTATCCAGACAATCTCCGGCGGCGGATTGCTGTCCACCTCGCAATTTAGGGACACAATGCTGCCAAAGTCCGCCTCCATGGACTGTGGGCGCTGCTTGAAACTGGGCGCATCTGTTTAGGGATAGTGGAGCAGTCGTTAGGACTGCCGAACAGGATCGAACTAATGCACACTTACAGCTTATGTCCAGCGTCTCGCTGTCCTCGCTCTTGCCCACCGAATTCTGTACCTCGCATTTGACAATGGCATCATGGAATTTGCGCGTCACGTTGCGTATGACCTGCAGATGGAGATTGTGATTGCGTTTGAGATTGAGTTTGCGATTCAGTCCGAGGATTGCTGAGAATGACGGCAAATTGTGGGAACGTTATGTCTTTCCGGCAGCCGCAACTGGTTCTTGTTCGGGTTTGGTCTGGTTTACTCCCCAGCCCCAGTTGTAATTGCCATGACAAAATAGCTCAGCCCGACCCGGCCCACCAACATTACACAACATTTTTATCGCAGCGGCAGCAAACTTGCTCTAATTATGCGGCTCGCTGCTGGAATGTGGACGTGGCCAGGCCAGCAGCCACGTTTTTCTATTGCGCAACAACGGAAGAGGAACGGGGAAGGGGGCCCTGCCAGTTGCTGGAGCACTTACCATCTCAGTTTTTTGACCGCCTATAATTGGCTCGTCGTTGATGTACCAGCGATAACGGACATCGCTCGGATTGGCATCAGCACGGCACTCGAGTCGCACCTGTGCATGCTCCACGATGCGCTGAACGGCCCCAATGGCTGAGCCAGAGACAGAGCCGCTGGCGCTACCGCTTCCAGATCCAATCACATTCACCTTGACTTTCGGCGCGTACTTCACCTGTTAAACGGAAGGTTAAGCAAACAATAGAAAACGGCTAACGAAAGCAAACAATGCAAGAAATATGGCAAATAATTTAAGGGCCTAGTTCAACTTGTTGACTAGCCCAGTTGGTCTCGATGCCGATGGAATTTTTGGGACTGAAAGTATTGTTAGGAATGATGAGAGTGCAGGATTGTTGCAAGTTTTCCTATTCCTTTATTTATATCATCTTTAGTTCTTTCAAATAGTAAAAGAGCTGCGTGTGCTTCTTTGCATCTGGTCTGCTCATATTCCGGTCAGTCAAATCAGACCGAGGTATACTTTGGACAGATATTAATAAAGCGTTGAACTGAGTCTGATTGGAATGAGTTACTGGGGTTAGACTGAATTGAATTCTCATTAAGGTTAGCTTCCAGCTGTGCCCAGTCTGCCGGGACATTTGATTAGGCACCATCCATAATTAGTTTCAAGAGCGCTTCATGAATTTGTCAGCTGGTTGAGCTCCAGCTTTCAGTCAAAAAACGGAACACAGGACTGCAAATGTGTGGGCAATTGACAGACAAGTGTGGCACTCAGCCCGGATGTGTGGTAAGACTTTATTTCTGGGGCATTTTGACAGCTGGCCAAGGTCTTCGTAAGCCCTTGCATGCTTTCACTTAACTAAGGATTTACCCTTGCCCTGTGCCATATGCCTTATGTTGTACTATGAATTAGCCCATCACTGTCAGACCGTGTCCAACACAGAAGCCCATTCACAAAAAAAAAAAAAAAAAAAAAAAGAAAAAGAAAAGAAAACGAGTGGACTGGGCAACGGCACAGGCAGCACTGGACAGCATCACGTAATATTGATAGTTGGCTCAAGCGTTGACTGTGACGCGTCAGCGCATTGTGCTAGGCCCCTAGATAAGGCCTGGTCCCATTCACTGACCAGAGACTGATGCTGAAATTGCAATGGACCTGTGCAGCAACAGCACAGACAGCTGCACTGTTCGGTTGTGGGGCTTTGGGAATTGAATGGAATGGAATTTATGGGGCGGAATCTCAGGGTGGCGACGCTTACCTCGACACGTATTTTGGCTGAGCGATAGGTGCGGTCTGCCGTGTTCTGTGCCTGGCACGTGAAATTCGTGTTGTGGTGCTCCTTTTTGGGTGTGAGGCGCAGCAGCGATTTTGCCGTATAGCGTCGCAGATCGGGCAGCGGTATAACTGTATACTCTATGTTATCCGTTAGTACGTTGCCCAGGCCATCAATCCATGTAATCTGTAAGGGAGCGAGAGAGCCAGGGGAGAGAGACATGTTGCTGGTTAGTGTTAGCTCAATTTGGGGCTAGGTAGTCGTCTGGCAGTCTGGCAGCCGGGCAGCCGGGCAGCCTGACTGTCAATCGTTAACAGAGTCTAACTCGGCCACGCGGTCTGACTGGCGTCCATTGTTTGTTTGATTGGTTTCGACTGAGCTCGTGTGAAAGTACGCTTTCAACATGCTGCGGTTTGGCTGCTGCCCGGACTGTCGCGTACTGCAGTCGACTATGTACATAGCTATGTAGCATGCATGTATGCGTGCTGTTGCTTACCTCGGCTGCGGGCTTGCCGCCTATTGACACACACTCAATCTCCACCCTGCGATCCTCGGTGGCATAGATGACATCGCCCTGCGTTATTTTGGGCGCCTCCGGCGGCACCAGCACTGTGAGAGCCGCAAATGTGGAACGTATGGCTGGCTGGCCCTCTGGACCGGGACTCACTTGGCATTGATACTTGGCATCATCGTCCAGCATCACCGGATAGATATCCAGCGAATAGTCGCCCTCCTCATCGCTGCCCACCATGCCGTAGCGCTCAAACCCACTCAGATCACGGGACGTGCCCAGGCCAAAGTCATCCTTCGTCCACTGCAGTGTGCCCTGTTTGTTGATGACGCGACAGGGCAGCGTTACCCGTGCGCCGACCACAGCCGTCTGGTCCTGCGGCTCCATGGCGAAGCGCTGGTTCTGATAGCTCGTATACAGCGATGGAGTCGCCCCAGCCGCATCCACGCCCACTAGGACCAACAGCAACAGCGTTGCCAGTGCAAAATGCTTGTCCATGCCTCCTCGTTCTTGCTCTTTCCGCTTCGTTGTCATGATGCCACGCTGTAAATTGGTGGGAAAGAGAGAGCTGATTAGTCGCCGCGTTAAGTTCGTTTAATGCGCGTGCCTCGGAATTTTGCGACGCATCTAAAAGTATGCAATGTTTTTTTTGCTGGCTTGACATCGGCTCGGCCACAGAAGAAAACCAAATAGAAAAAAAAAAACGTAAAATAAACAATTCGCCATTTTGTTGCACAAATTGCTTGAGGCTCTTTTCAAGTATTATTATTGCGTTTATTGTTTATTGCTGATGTTTGCGCGTGTTTTTATATTCCATTATTTATGGTTTTATATGTTATTTCTCATTTTTTTGTTCTGCTCTGTGCCTGCAAGTGCAGACAGCCGCGTACGTGCGTACATAGGAACAACGACAAAATATATATGTATACAAGAAAATAAAAATATAGAAATAAAAAAATGAGCCAAGAAAACCGCGAACAAACAAAAAAACGAATAACATTCAAATTAGCCAAAAGTCTATAGAGTCTCAAGTGCGCGGCGCTTACACTGGTCCGCCTGGTACGGGCACGGGTACGGGCCCAGGGTTACGTTTACGACCACCGAAACATATAAACGAGGAATGTGCAAAAATGTGGCCCGGCAATTCGTAAAATGTTAAAAATGTACGCGCGTCATAAATATAAACAAGTAAGACGCTCTAGTCGGGAGCTCCCGACTAGGGGATACCCTGAACCCTCTTCTTCCAACATCAAATGCATATATATATTCTATTTTAGAAGCTATATGTCAATTTTGGGGACTCAAGCTCTTAGTATTTACCAAAATTACCCATAAAACAGGATATCGATATCGATTTTTATCGATTGTTTGAACACGGAGTAAGTTATCGATTATCGGAAACTAACTTGATCTGTGCCGGCACTAGGAGCACCTACATTTTAAGTCTATAGCTCTTATATGTTCTGAGATCCTTGCGTTCATACATACGGACGGACGGATGGATGGATGGACGGACGGACGGACGGACAGACCGACGGACATGGCTAGATCGACTCGGCTATTGATGCTGATCAAGAATATATATACTTTATGGGGTCGGAGATGCTTTCTTCTGCCTGTTACATACATTTGGATTTTGCACAAATACAAAATACCCTTATATCCATTTTTAATGGGTTCAGGGTATAAAAATAAAGATGCTAAATATGAAATGCGGCGTGCAATAAAAAAAGGATTGCCAGACAGCAGGGAGACAAACCGAACCACGACGGCTGCATACTCTGTCTCTCTGAGCATGAACAGCATATATATTCGATGTCAACCAGATCTTAGACAAGATGCACAAAGGTGCTTACGGCAGAGAGAGGGTGAGATAGGGAGGGAGCTTTGGAAAACTTTGTACATACTCTATACTATATGTATATGTCGGTTATTCTTTCTTATTATACTCTATTTCGTTAAGGGTGTTCATGAAGACTTTAAACATAGCTAGATAAGGTTTCAAGCTATTCTTACTGAAGCCTCGCTGTATGAAAAAAAGCGGGCGTTCATGCGACTTGTTCTTCAATTATGAACTATTTATATGAGTTTTGGCCATATTATTGATTTGAATATTGATCGTTGGCCTCTTACGAGCATTCGTTGAGCTTAAAAACATAATGAGTTTAACCCCAAACCAACTACAATATTTATGCAAATGTGTGTGTGTGTTTATCGATTAAATTCATAGGCAACGTTGCCGCACAGCGTTTAATAAATTGCAGCTGAAATAAATACCTACATTTGTACGGATATATACACACATATCTATAAGCACCATCTAACCAATCAGGTGGTGTGCGTGTGCACCACACGGCGCTGTCATTAAACGCTGCACTTTGGGACCGTTGATTAGCTCCCAACTGTCCAACCAGCTACGACCTCGACCCCGACTCCGTCTCCAACTCCAACTCCAACTCCGACTCCTACTGCGACTCCTACTCTAACTCCAACGGCGACTCTGTCTTCGACCAAGTGTCTGCCCTCCACTTTAACCTGTCCGCGGCTCATTGCTTGCTGTCAGGTGCGACCTGTGCTTGAATTTTCTCACGCATTTTTGTTCACATTTTCAGTATATATATTATATATGTACTTTATATCCATCTATATATATATATATATGTATATATATATGTATGTATCTATATTTCTTTGGCTAGTAAGTAGTTCGCTTCCGCCACTTGGCGTCTATTGCTTTTCAACTAATTTTGTTTTCTTGTAGTTCGCGGCTGTTATTTGTTTTTATTGCATTTATACGGAAATTGGCGCTTCTCACACACACTTACACACACACACACGCACTCGAGCAGACAGAGAAAATTATAGCAGGGCATAAAAAAAGAGACGACGCCATGACACCGAAGAAGAAGAAGCAGCAGCAGCAGCAGAAATCCATAAAACCAAAGAGCAGCCCAAAACGCACAAAGCAAAAGATTACCGCGTTTGCTTCCGTTTGTGACCAAGGGAATGGGAATGGGGAGCAGGGGATTGATGGAGGGGGACGGGTAAGGGGAATCAGGGTATACCCTAAGACCTGGAAATGACTTAAAATTAGAGCCATGCACTGAGTTTTCGGGCTCTCACATGAGTGCGAGTGGGAACCATCTGGACTGACCGAAAGACCGAGACGATGCCCGCTAATTAAAAGTGATTATAGACACGCTCGTTTATCGCCATCCCCACACCGTTTGCTACATCATTTCTGCTCCGTCTCTCTCTCTCTCTCTCTTTCTCAATCTCTGTGTGTATGGTTTTTTTATATTGTACTTCTTTTTTGTCTAACGTAATGCTGGAAAATGTCGAACAGCTAGAGATTTCACTTTCAGCTACACGCGATACATGTAAGTGTTCAGTTTATTGTCATTGGATACACGAGCACCATGTCGAATTGCAAAATAGTTGCCAAACTGCGCAGCCGGAGGTCATTTTACCTATGCGCTGTATTTTTAATTACACCATATGACACTGATTCCAATTTTATAGATAACATCGCCAATTGCTGATCTTAATGGAAGGAAAAACTATTAACTTACATAAATAATTATAAAAATATTTATTAATACTTTTATTAGTGGCTAGCAAACATAAATTTTAAGCTTTAGTATTTGGTCTTAATCAAGCTGGTAGAATATGTATTCAATAAATCGATGTGGGAAATGACAAGTTTATTGATTTCCTGAGAATTCTGCAGGCAATTTTTACGCTTTTTTATTTGCTTTAACATAAAATTGTATATTACAAAATCTCTAATCATATATTGTTTAGTAAAACCTTTAAGAACCCATACGATCAGATCAGCTAGCTGAGCAGGGCTTGAGGACCTATTCGGATGTGTACACACACACACACAGCCACACACAACCACACGCATACACAGACGCATAAAATAGGTATATTTAGCTTTTTATTTGACTTATGCAATTCTCATATCCGTATTTCAGATTAAAGATTCATTCCAAGCGCTGTTCGCATTTTATTAATTAAATATTTATTATGGGATTTATGAATTTTGATTCACTTAATTTTTAGCTGTTGTCTCTTTCCCTTTTAAATCTCTCTCTCGCCCGCTCTCTGTCTCTCTCTCTCTCTCGCTCGGGGACTCCACACACTGGCAATGACTGATTTGGCAGGCATGGGGTCCCCGTTTGAAACCAAAATGCCAATCATTCGACAAACAAAAACATTTCCGCTCCAAACGCTTTCCGCTCCAGTTTTCAATTTTTGCTGCCGCTTGCTGCTGCCAGTTGTCGGTTGCCCGTCGCCCGTCGCCCGCTGCCTGCTCCCGGTCGCTGGTTGCAAGCTGAGAGTTGCCCCAACTGGCTGCAGCTACAGTAATTATTTTCAGGCGACGCTTATCACACATAAATCTCTAGCTGGCTGTGGTCAACCAATCGATGCAGCAGCAACAGCATCGATGACTGGGGGAGCGAACAGAGCAGAGAACAGAGCGGTGGCAGCCGGGACTAGGGTAGCTTGTTTTGTCAGCATCACTTCCCTGCCATTGGGCTTCCTTTAGTGGCAGCTGCTGCTCGTAATGCTGCCGCTGCTGCTGCTGCTGCTGCTGGACACCAGACTGGCCACTGGCCACAAGATGGTTGCAGCTGCAGCATGCGTACAGCATCCTTTACGCAGCATGCCAAACATCTTTGCGATATTTATAGCCGACTGCAGCATTGGGGAACAGGTGCTGCGGCAACGCCCGATACCCAGCTCCGAGCTCCAAGCTCCGAGCGCCGAATCCCGATGCTTGACTCCAATGAAGTTATTTTTGTGATGAATGTGAGCTCTCTCAACTCAGCGCCCATCGCCCCATGCTAATTATTTTCTGCTCGACGCGCTCCGGTCGAACCAGTTTGTGGAGACAAGCCAAGCCAAGCCAAGTCAAGTCAAGCCAAGCCCCGCTTCGCTACGCCCGACCCGCCCGGTCCACTCGCATTATTATCATCTTTTAGTTATTAGATGCAAGCTGCAGCGGATGTTGAGCTTCCTTCGCTCTCAGACTTTTGTCATTTACAGTTTTGGCCTCATTGGCAGCCGGGCGACTCGACAGCGACAACGACAACGGCAACGGCAACTAGTAATCGGTCGAGCGACCTGCCTCTCTCATAAATCAATAAAAAGCCCACCTGGTACAAATAACTTTGGAACGATTTATATATATATTGAACGCTCGCCATTGAGCCGTGGCAAAGTTTTTGCCCAGCCAGGCCACTTTCTACGCCAATTTCTTGGCCAAGATTTAACGCCACAATTGCAGCTGCACACAAAGCGTACACACGTTTGTTCTGATGCAACCCATAAACCCTTCTTTTTTGTGTTCCATCTCTTCTAAGAAAGGCCAATCAATGGGGATCTTAACCCTGTACCTTTTATGACGACAGTTCAGAGAGCAGCGCGTAGTTTGACTTGCAAAACAATTAGCTTTTGTCCTGTAGACAATGAGCTGAGACACAGCGAACATATTTCTGTTGTTTCGTACCAGACAGCTTTTGTACGTAGCAGCG